TAGGGAAATTGTAATCACTTCCTTGATTACTCAGACATTGAATACTTCAAATAAAATAATATTTGAGACCGATGGATGGGGGCACTAGTGTTCTCCCATGAAGACTAGCTACAATAGATACAGAGCATCACTAAAAAAACATAAACTCATGTCTCATTTCCAGTCTTTTTTCCTCTGCAAATGTGCTGCTAGCTTGTGGAGAAGGCTGTGGGTGTACCCATCGGTCTTGTGGAGCAGAGCAGGAAGATAGAAGAACTGAAAGGCAGAGTTGCTGGCCAGCACCATTGCTTTGAACTCCAAAAGGACAGCCCTGATATTTTACTGTGCTTTTGTGTTTCGCTTTTCCACCAGCTTTTTGGAGACTGGGAATCTCATCTGCGAAGGATAATGAAGCTGATTGCTGGCGGAGGATTGTCCATCACAGGATCCCACCACATGTGCGGCGACTATCTGTACAGCGGCCACACCGTCATACTGACTCTCACGTACTTATTTATCAAAGAGTGTAAGTTCATTACTGCTCCATTTCCTGGGGTATAATGCCTGCTAATTGAGGAGTGATTGTTGTGCTGATCGATAAATGCAATTAAAATAAAAAAGCACTCTTTCTCAATTAAATAAAATGAACAGAACTTCAAAGACATAGGCAGAAAAGGACCTGGGGTGCTGGTGGACAGCTGTCTGAGTATGAGCCAGCAGTGTGGCCAGATGGCCAAGAAGGCCACCAGCATCCTGGCCTGGATAAAAACTGGGTCTAGCAGGAGTAGGGAAGTGATTATGCTCCTGGACTCAGCACTGGTGAGGCCACAGCTTGAGTCCTGGTTTCAGTTTTGGGCACCACAGTATAAGAAAGACCTTGAGGTGCTGGAGTGGGCCCAGATGGGGAACGAATCTGGTGAGGGGTCTGGGGAACATGGCTTATGAGGAGTGGCTGAGGGACCTGGAGAAGAGGAGGCTGAGGGGAGACCTTGTTGTGCTCTCCAGCACCCTGAAAGGAGGTTGAAGTGAGGTGGGGGGTGTTGTCTTCTCCCAGGGAACTGGCAATAGGACAAGAGGCAGTGGACAGAAGCTGAACAAGGGGAGGGTTTGATTGCATGTTAGGAAGAATTTATTTCTTGCAAGAGTGTTGAGGCATTGGAATAGGCTGCTCTGGGAGATGGTGGAGTCCCCATCTGGAGGGGTTCAAAAATCATGTGGACATGGGACTTCAGGACATCATTTAGTGGTCATGGTAGTGTTGGGTTGATGGTTGGGCTTGATGATCTTGGAGGTGTTTTCCAACCTTAATGATTCTATGATTATATCACAAATGTATTGGGCCAGTTTCTCAAGGATTTCATAACCTATTTTCCAAAGATCTGATTACCCCTGAGTAGAATTTTAACTGACACCTTAAGAGAA